CACTCATGTGTTGAGTTATATATTTTAAACTCACAATCTATTTTTTCAGATTATTCGAGTCAATCGTAAAAGTTTATTTATCAAAATGAAGGTGAAGAAGGTAAGTAAAAAGCCTCTTAACTCGAGAAAAGATAAACAATCAGTGGTTGTTAAGAGAAAGAAAGAAAATTTGAGTAAGTTGACTACAGAAGAGTTCTTTAAACAAAATTTTGAAACAGATAGCAATATATCTGATGATAGTGAAGAAGATAAAAACATAGGTATGATTTAAAACATTTGGATTTCTTTCATATATTAAATTATATATTTCATTTTTATTATCTTTTTACATAGGTAATGAAAATAATGAACAGATAGATAGTGACAACAGTGAAGATAACTTAGATCCAACCGAGCATAAAAAATCATTAATAAAACTGAAAGACACTGATCCCGAGTTTTATAAATATCTGAAAGAAAATGACAAAAATCTTCTGGACTTTAAAGTATCAGATGATGAAGATGACGATAATTCTTCAATGAACAGTAATAGACATATTCCCAATGAAAATTTAGTGGTAAATATTCTTTTTATAAATAATTTTAATTATTTTTTTATATTTATTTTCAAGCAATATTATTTATAGGTAGCTAGCGATGATAGCGATTTTCAGCCGGAAGAAACTGAAGGTGACTCTAAAAAGAAAATCACTAAACAGCTATTGAAGAATTGGCAACAAGAAATACAAACGGATAAGTAAGTTATTACTGAATTATTTTTTGTTGAATTAATAACAAAATAATAACTGCATTATGTTTAATTTGTAGATCGATAACCACTATTAAATGTGCTGTAGAAGCCTTTCATGCAGCTTTGGATAGTGTTGCTGTACTACCTGATAAGACTACAGAATATAAAGTAGAAGGAAGTGCTAGTAAGTTTCAACTTCCATTATTAAACTGTTTACTATTTTTTAATTAATCTATTAAAATTTGATAAATTTTTAGTATTCAATGGTGTAATACAACTATGTATAATGTATCTACCCGATGCATTTAAACGTTTTTTGAAGCTGGATCAAGAATCACAAGAAGCACATAAATCTAAAAGATTTAGAAAAATACGATGTATCTTAAAATTATACTTGTCTGATTTAATCAAAGTATGTATCTGTTAAATATTTAATTATTTTATTTAATTTAAACACATAACACTAATATATTATTTTCACAGTTATTACAAAGTGTAGCGTCACCCAGTATTCTTACAGTACTTCTAAAGCATCTACGCCAAATGTTGCTTTATACTCGCTCGTTTTCATCTTTAACTAAACCATTGTTAAGGATTTTGATAAAGTTTTGGTCATCTGCAGAAGAAACTGTTCGAGTTACAGCTTTCTTAAATATACTACATATTGCAACACATACAATTAACAAAGAATCTGTAATAGAGAAATTATTAAAGGTGAGATCCATATGTTATGATAAAAAGAATATTTATGGACTGTTTATATCACAGTTGTATTATTAAAAAATTTTCTCTTTTAGACCATGTATGTGAAATATGTTCAGAATACAAAATTTGTTTCACCTAACACATTACCAGGAATAAATTTTATGAAACATTCTTTAGTTGAAATTTATCTACTTAATCATGATGTTTCATACAATCATGCCTTTCTATATATCAGGCAATTAGCGATTAATTTAAGAAATGCCATTACATTAAAGAAACAGGTAATTTTCTTGAGGCTTCCGTGGGTGCTTTCTATATAAAGATTGTGTTTCGTAGGTTTTCTCCGTGTTCAGATCCATACTTGGAATGCCAAAGATTCGTGAACCTTGTAATCCACTTGATAGTATCAGGCTGCTTCTCGCCTTTATGAAAAATGGAACCGAACACGGAGAAAACACATAATCTTTATATAGAAATAGATAATTTTTGAAAAGATTATTTATATCTATTCCAGGGTTAAAATTTTTTTTCCAGGAAAACTTTCAAGCTGTATATAATTGGCAGTATATAAATTCTTTGCGTTTCTGGACAGAATTGATAATTAAATCAAAAGAGAAATCGATGTTACGATCACTGTTATATCCATTAGTTCAGGTATTAGTTAATTTATGTCTATTTCTATCAATGTAGATTAATGTTAATTATTTATTTTTTAACCTTTTCTAATTTTTAGAACTAGAAAAAGATAAAAAGTAAAAGTTAAAATTAAAATTCTACATAGGTAAAAACAGACATTAGACAAGCAAATTATGTATATATATATATATATACGAGAGCAAGGTGAAAAGTTCTCGGCCTAGAAATTGAAAAAATAAGTTTTTTACTTTAAAAATACATTTATTTGTAGCAGTATTATCGTCGAATCGTGATCCATTGCTAATACAATTATGACAGTGCGATAACCGGCCAACCTTTTGGCATCTCCGTGAAAACTTAAAAAATATTAAAAATTATAAAAATTACGTTAAATTTTATTTATTAATAGATTATTGTTGGAACAATAAAAGTAATTCCAACGGCACAATACTATCCATTGCGATTTCACTGCATAGAAATGTTAATAACTATTTCTAAGAAAACAGGAACATTTATACCTATTTTACCATTTCTTCTCGAGGTATCAATCATTTTTTATTCTTAAACATTTGTAATTTTAGAATATGCAAATATTTTATGTCAAATTTTTCTGTTTAGATACTGGATTCTTACGATTTTAATAAAAGGCATAAAGCAGTTACAATGAAACCTATACCACTTATTTGCATATTAAGAATGTCAAAATCGCAATTGGTAGAGAATGGTTTCAAGGATAGTATTATTGAAACCGTTTACCGATTTATATTAGAAAATGCAGCAAACGATAGTTATAAAATATATTTTCCGGATGTATACATACCTTGTATAATACAGGTATTTAAAAAAAAATTAATATGGAAACTATTGATTTTTATTAGATTTATCATAAATAAATTGATGTATTTTCGCAGTTAAAAGCATTTCTGAAGAAATGTCATGTAGCAGCTTATTGCAAGAAGATAAAACAGCTTCTAAATATGATTGAGGAAAATAGAAAATGTATTGAAGCTGAGCGTATTAAAATAACGATAGATTTGAAGAATACGGCAGAGATCACAAATTGGGAAAATAGAATGAAAACAGATGGCACAGAAATATCCAAATTCTATACTTCTTGGATTGAAATTCATAAATCTCAGATGCTTAAACTTCTTACGAAGAACGAAGAAGTACTCAATGTACCGGTAAAAACATCGAAGAAGCAGAAACTGGACGAGCAAAATGCAGAGGATAGTGAAGAGAGCGAGTTTGAGCTTCGGTTGAAAGATACGGAATCCGAAATAGAAACGAAAAAGTCATTAAATAAGACGAAAAAGCGTAAGAAAAACAAAAAACAGAAGATAGCCAGCAATATCGAGGATGAAAATTTGCCGAGAGAAGATACAGATATTGTACAAGATATAAATATCGATGATTGGGGTTAAGAAGAACAAAATAGAATTAATGATCATATAAGATAAATAATATAATATGTATTTTATATTCTGAAATGCATTACAATAAAAACCCAATAATAAAAAATAGATTAAAATGGATTGAAATTTTTATTTATTCAATTGGATTCGATTAGATTCAACTGGATTTAATTGGAAAAACTATATTTCCTATTCAGAATTTTGAATTGAGCAGTATTCATGATGCACAAAAAGAAAAACTGATGATATTTTTAGATTGAAAGGCAAAAAATGTACTTTATGCCTATACATAAATAAAAATACATTCAAATTGAAAAAGATTAACAAGGATTTATTTTATTCATAAATTCGATTTTATTTCTGAAAATCTAAATCTATTTTAATCTATTTCAATCCATTTTCGTTTACTGGGAAATAAAATAAATCTTTGTCTTATCCTTACATTTGATATACCATAATTACTGAATTAATAATCTATATTCTGTACAAACATTTATTTAATAAAAAAATTATACGAATATATCAAATATATTAAATAAATTTTTAACATTAATAATGTATTAAAAACTTTAATTTCAACAACTAAAAAAAATAAAACATGTTTATGTATAAGAAAAAAATTACTAATATAAAGTAATGTTAATCGCAATAAAAAGTACAAAAAAATGTATGATTAGTATACAAAATATATGAAGTATAAAGTCTATTGCCTAAACATTTCAAAAAAAAAATGAAGTTTAAAATCTATTATCTAAATATTTTAGAGTTGTAGCACTTGGTAAAACAAAATTTTGATAGTAATTTGTAACAAGATTTAAATTGTTTATACAGCGATAGTGCTAAAATTTTTTTATCGATTCTAACTCTTCTTCCCTTTATAAATAATAATAAAATAGTTTCTAACAAGTATTACAAATAAAATGTATTACAAATTTAATAAATATTAATAAATTAATTTAGTTTCGCGGGTTTCCTCCATGTCCAGATCCATTTTTGGAATGTCAACGTTTTGTGAACCTTGCAGAGCGAAGAGCAGCCTGATACTTAAGAATGAATCTGGATACGGAGGAAACCCGCGAAATGCATAATGTTTATATAGAAAGTACCCGTGGAAGTCTCAATATTATCAAATTAATTTAGTTATTTATTTATTTACAATTTGATAATGACGTTGCAATTTTTTATGACAATAACGCTAACTGTTAAGGTTGTGCTAAGATTGGAAAAGTAACTTTGTCATCATTATGCGTTACTTATCCGGGAAAAAAAATGTTCAAATATAATTAACATTTTATATAAATAGTAATTAATAATAAGTTTTATAAAAATATATCTAGTAATTAATAACGAGTAACGTGTAACGTATATTATTTGTCACATAAAAGCCATGGCATAAAAAATTTAAGGCAAATTCTACATTCTGTTTCTTACTGTTTGTCTCTTGTTGACCAAAAAGACAAGAGACAAACAGAGACAAATAGTAAGAAACAGGAAATAAAGAGTACATTGTAGAATTAGCCTAAGGGGCTCCGCACTATAAAAGGAACAAGGAACAGAGAACAGAATAAGAATTTCAACTTATTTTTTCAACTCAGAAATTATGTATTGTGGAATTTCTGATAGGTTGAAATTCTTATTCTCTGTTCTCTGTTCTCTATTCCTTTTATTATGCGGAGCCTCTAAGGCTAAGCAATAGGAAATCAACATGTTGGATTGGTTACTACTTATGTTATAGTCTTATGGATTCTGCTGTGATTGATCAATTCCCTTACTGTTTACGTTTTACTGTTTAAATTTTTTTGAGTGCCATGGCCCAATGATGAAATGTCTTCATGTGATAAAAGTACGAGGGGTATCCAGAAAATAAGTTCCGTTTTTTTTTTACAAATAAAGTTTTTATTGAAAAAATCTAAAATTTACATGGATAATACTTGACAACTTCTAGTCTTTTTCTACATAATTCCCGTCAATCTCAATACATTTTGTATATCTGGAAACAAGCTTCGAAATCCCTTCTGCATAGAAACTTCCCGCCAGTTCTTTAGTCCAGTTAGTTACAGCTGTCTGAACTTCCTCGTCGCTTTGGAAGCGTTTTCCGGCCAAGGACTCCTTCAGTTTCGTAAAAAGATGGTAGTCCGATGGTGCTAGATCCGGGCTATACGGTGGGTGGGTCAAAACATCCCAACTAAACTGATTCAAAAGTGCAGTTGTTGAAGCAGCGACGTGCGGCCGAGCATTGTCGTGAAGAAGGGACACACCTGCTGTCAACATCCCCCTTCTTTTGTTCTGAATGGCCCGACGCAGCTTTTTCAAAGTTTCACAATAGCGCTCCGCATTTATTGTTGCTCCTTGAGGCAAAAAATCAATCAGCAGAATTCCTTTTTGGTCCCAGAAGAGAGAAACCATGATTTTTTTGACGGACTTGACCACTTTGAACTTCTTTGCAGTTGGAGAATAGGTGTGCTTCCATTGCATTGACTGTCTTTTGTTTTCTGGTGTGTAATGGGCGACCCAGGTCTCGTCTCCAGTGACTATAGATTTAAGGAAGTCATTTCCCTCATCCCTGTAACGGTCCAAAAATTCTTTACCTGCAGTCACTCGTGTGGCCTTGTGTAGAGGAGTCAGTTCTCTGGGAACCCAACGGGCGCAAACCTTGCGAAATTCGAGTTTTTCTGAAACGATCTCATGGATAAGACTTCGGGATATCTCTGGAAAAAGGTTGTGGAGTTCATCTAAAGTTAAACGACGATCATTGCGAATCGCATTTTCAATTTTTGTCGTCAACTCATCCGTGATAAGGGAGGGTCTGCCTCTCCCACTTTCGTCTTCAAGCGAATGTCTTCCTGCCTTAAATTCTCGGACCCATCTCCGCACCATAGATTCACTCATCACACTCTCTCCATATACAGAAACAAGCTGTTTGTGAATATCAACCGATTTAAAATCTTGAGCAAAAAGAAACTGAATGATGCCGCGCAAAACAACTCGAGAAGGAATCGGAATGGAGGTGGCGGGACGCGAAGTGGAGGACTCCATTTTGATAACCTCTCCTGACCGTGTTTCACGAGCTACTGACGCCGAACACCGCTCATTCTATTCGGTAGCTTCCCCTCTTCAATGCTGTGTTGCCAGCTCGCTCATACATCGACCTTACTAAACGTATAATACAAACGGAACTTATTTTCTGGATACCCCTCGTAACATTTTGATATTAATCGAAGACAATTATTGTTTTGGTGTTTGATCTTCTTTTCTGTTACTTATAAAAATTCTAAAAAATTATATGAAAAAATTTGAGAAGAATTTTCATCAGGATTATAATATTTTTTTCAAAATTTTTCACACAATTTTTTAGAATTTTTATATAAATTTCAGAATTTTTCAGAAGTTCTGTACAATATAATGTAGTTTTATATTATATATATGTATATTATATATACAAACTTATATATACAATTTATAATTTGTTTACAACTTATACTTTTTAAAAGAACAAAATTTATATGATTTAAAATTCTTTTTAAATTTGGTTCTTTTTGCACACTTTCATTCTTCTATAATTTCTAATGTTTCTAACGATTTTTTATTGTTCTTCATAAAAGGTATCATTTATATGTAGTTGTGGGGAATTCTTAATGCCTCACTAGCGCAGCGAGCGTAGTAAGCTTAAGGATTGTGTTGGTAACGAGTTGCCTAGCAGCGTAAAAAAATAATAAAAAAAGAAATATTATATTAAGAGATCAATAGAGGTGTTCGTCCTGTACGTTCGTATAAAATTGTACTCGTGAAATAAATATTATATTTACAGTTACAAATTAAGTCTCGATTGTAAATTTCTTTATCACATCACACGACAAGCGTGGGCTTGTCAAAAGAACTCTGACTTATCCATTGAG